GCTTTTTCTTATGAAATCCTAATTTATTGCTTCCTGAATATTTTTCCTTCTAAAGGAGAAATATAAACCATCTGTTCCAAAGATCTTAGTTTGACAGCCTAGCTGGTGTCATGATAGGATTTAGATATTGCTGCACATGATAGGGCCAGTATGATCAATGTGACACGTCTCTTGATGGCAAGGATCAAGAGAGCCTTTGGAAGGATCCCTTAGGGAAGAAACAGTGACTGGGAACAATGTGCCAGGCATGTGAGTCAGGTATGGATTTTAATCACCACCATTTGAATCTCATTTCTTTGTAGCCCCCATAAACATGTGCCTGACTCAAGAAATAATACTAGTGGTTAGAATGTTAAAAACAAAATCTCTTTGAAGCTTAGTGGCAAAAATAAAAATAAAAAAATAAAGCTTAGTGGCAAATGGTGGTGGCTACCTATGACTTCTTCCCTGGAGAAGCATTTTTTTTTTTTTTGTAGCAAAAGGAACAAGCTTAGGTAAATCAAATATGAAGAAAGTTGATACCCCTTGAAGCAGCCCTCAGACAATAACAGGTGGGAGATTTGGTGAGGAGCAACATTTAACCAATGATGGAGGGGAAGACTTCCTCATCCATCAGTCTTGAGATTTGTTCTACACAAGCTCCTGGAGTTGTCCAGTAGTATTGGGTTACAAGGAGTAACTGAATGGATAACAAATCTTTTGCTGGTTTTTTTCCTATTATTTTATTCTTTGTTATGGTGTAGATCTAAAAAGACATCACCCCCAAAGATCATGTGCTCCAAGGATGGACTTCTTGAAGGTGAACAGTATAGGCTCTGACTTCTCTGAATTAAACTTCTGATGAGACCATAATTTGCTGGCATTTGGGGAAGATAATAGAAACAGGAGGTGGCACCTAGTTGAAGGTGGAGGCATGACCTGAGGGCTGTCGCTAGTCCCTACCCTCTCTGATTTTTGGCCACCATGAAGAGATCAGCTTTCTCCTACCCAACCCTTCCACAACAATGGTATGCCTTTCCACAGGCCTAAAGCAGTGAAGCCAGCTAATCATTGACTGAGCGCTTGGAAACCATGATCAGAAGTTAACATTTCCTCTTTTGACTTTCTCAGATAACTTGTCATAATAGTGGAAGGCTAACATACTCTTATGTATCATTTTTTTTTACCATTCCTGGGATCTCCTCCCAAATAAACTATTTGCACTTAAAAGCTGGGAATTTTCTCTGGAGAGAAGTCTCATACCTAGCTTAGTATTGAGTACAGAAACAAGTATACATACTTATTAAAGTTAGAAGACCTATATTCAAATTCTTTCTCACCAGTGATATAAAGAAAAATTTTTCTAAGACTGTTTCTTCATCTATAAAATAGAGATAATAGCACTGACCTCGGGGGCCTGGCCCTAGCTCAGTTCTTTAAGTGGCTGCTTCCACAATGCTGGCAGCCTCAGGTTGCTGTAGTTCAATCCCCACAACACTGCAGCCAGCCAAAAGTGCCCTGAAGGCATTCGAGGAGCCAAAAAAAAAAATCCTTATGGGCCAGGGAGATGGCTCAGTACAGTAAGCGCTTGCCTGGCAAGCACAAGGATCTGAGTTCAATCCCCAGTTCTGCCAAAAAAAAAAAAAAAGAGAGAGAGAGAGAGAGAGATAGCACTGACCTCAAAGTCTGCTGATAAAGAAAAATTTAAAACTGTATATGTAGTGCTGTGCATTGTATAGAACACATTGTATAAAATAGCCTGATAAATGTTGGTTATTATCATTAATATGATATTTATAATACTGTTGACATGGCATAGCCTAGGTAGAGGGTAAATTTATTTTCCACCATAAGATGATTACCAAAGCAGGTTGATTTGGCAGATGTACTGTGAAGTCTAATTCTGGTCAATACCTATGACTTAGTAATATTAATAATATTAATAGCTTAGAGGAAACATTGTTATAGGGAAGAAACTGTTGGACACCAACAGTTGGCTTAGAAGATGAGCACTTAGGGCTGGGGAGATAGCTCAGTGGCATAAGCACCTGCTTGGCAAGTACAAGTTCCTGAGTTCAATCCCCTGTACCAAAAGAAGAAAAGAATAACAAACAAACAAACAAAAAAAAAAAAAAAGCAGAAGACGAGCACTTGTACATAGTCTCAACTAATGACTGTAGTATTACCAATAACTTCATATCGGTGCCCAGTATACACTGTGATGGCTATGATTTCATTAGCTTCATTCATTTATGGCTACTGAGATTATTTCTCAATTCAATCTTGATTCCCAAATATAGAAAGTATCCTTTTAGTTTTGTAATATTGACAAACTTAATTTGTTATTTTAGGACCTTCCAAAATTGGATTTCTTCTTCTGCCTCCGTTTAGTCCCTATTCCTAGCCAGAATTGTTTGAATTATTTGGTCATACTAAAGAAAAACTGATACACCAAGAAACTGAAGCAGATTAAGCTTTCTCTCCCAATGAATTACAGTGCTAGATTTCACCTGAAGTGTTTCAGCCTTTCAAACAGTTATAGGTTACAGAAAGAATCAAAACAAGGGGCCACAATTGTTATAGACATCTAAGTTAGATAAATATAGGCAGTCAGTTAGGGCTAGGCTCTTGAAGAAGCTAATGTGGAAGATGAGATGCCTTGCAACTTTGGGAGTCAGGCACCTCCAGCTGAGGGCCAGCCCTTAAGACAATAAAGATAAAAAAAATGCAACATACCTCCCCAAAGGATACACATCAGGGATTGATATTCTAAATAGGTCTCTATCACCTTGAGAAAGCCAGGAAGAGTCACCAACTCAACCTCCTACAGGAAAATCCCTTGTTTTGTATTCATGCCCCTTTGCTCCGTGACTTGATTCTGATAGGTTCTGGTCCTACTATGAATTGCTAACTTATGGTGGTCACAACATGGCTGAAGCCCTTAAACACCACCTTATCTTCCCAGTGATCACTTCCTCCATCTCCCCCAACCTGGTCCTGGATACAACTTCCTCTCACCTTTCGCTTGCACTCAGGAGAGCCCCCAGTCAGCTTCTCAGGTGTCACTAAACCTGCTCCTCAACTCTACCCCTAGCAAAAGTTGATGAAATTCAGCTTTCTTTGTCTCAGATCAGAGGACAATCCTCATCTTCCCTGAGTCAGTCAGTGTCTTTAGAGTTAAGGCTTCATCTTTCCAATCTCCTTACTGTGCCACCAAAAAAAACCTAACAGATTCCCTATTTGATCCCAATTCTACCTGAACAATTATACACATAATCTCATTGGTTGACCATAGTTTTGTCCCACTTTATGCTCACCTTGCAATTTCCCATGTCGCCTACCTTGGACCCACGTTATGTTATTGATTTGCTCTATAAAAACCCCTAGAAAAGGTAGGGTCTTTGGCAATCCACCTGGGTCCCATTCTGTCTCAGACAGAAGCTTTCTTCCTCCAATAAATATATTCTGCTCTTAACCTTCATTGTTCCTAAAATTCATTCTTTAATTTTAGAGATTAGGAACCAGATATCTATCAAATGGAGTTTCTTTCCCCCATGTCACATTAGCTGGGAAGGTGGCAACATAATTGTGAGCAACAATTATGTGTTGCTCACCCACTGCAGGTGCAGCCCAGTGATTGGGGTAAAGAATTTGTTTCAGCCCCATTAATTGCTCCACTGTAGATAGAAATTGAGGCCCATGGTGATTTCCTGTCATGGTCCCCTTTTTCCTTTAGATACGAATAGACAAATTGCTTATCAGTGAGTGTAGAGAGATATATACATCCAAGCTAATATGATTTTTTTTAAAATAGCAAAAACAGCTTTTATGAGAAGATAGTAGTATGGATAGAAGGGACAGAACCAGCTACTTGGCACACCTGGTGTTCTAACAATTGCTGTGGCCTGTTCACCCCATCTGCTTACTTCAAGGAAGATAAATCTGGAAGGATCCTGTCAGAAGGTCTTGCACTCATTCAAGGGACTTTCCCTGGAGGGTTCCATTACATATGTAGTGCTTCAGAAGTCTATTCACATTGATTCTTTAATACTATATCTGGAACCTTCCATGGTTGTTGCTCTACAGGCCACTTGCATCAAGTTATTTATGTTCATGTCTTAGTATTAGACTAAGAACTCCTTGAAAGCAGAATTCATATATGATCTATTTGTATGTGACCAGAAACCAGCATAGTTCCTGGCTAGAGATGTTAGGTTTAGAAAAGCAAACAAATCATGAAGAATTTTATTTATCTGAAATGCAAATTTAGCTGGCTGTCTGGTATTATTTTTGGCAACCCTATTCTTGGCAGGTAGCTAACCTCAATAAATATGGATAAGTGAAGGAATGAATAGCAACCGTACCCAAAAAAGGAGCAATGAATTGGAAAACTTGATTGACCATGTAAAAGATGCTCATCTAAATTACCCCTCATTATCAAAACTGTCTGGCTAGCATTCTTCCTGTTAAAAATGTAACAATCTAGTCTGGCTTTAGGTTAAGATATGCTTTTAATCCAGGTTCTGTTAGCTACTTTTACTCAACACTCACATGGAGAAAACACTAATATCCTTGTGTTATGGTTTATATCTAGGTGTTCCCCCAAAGCCTCTTGTAGTCAGTGGGGTGGCTTCTAGAGTTTGTGAATAATTCCATGATCTAATGTTGGGATTATAGGTGTGGGTGCTACATCTGGCCTGTGGTGGGTGGGTAATCTGCATTACAATGTAAGGAGGGGAAAGAGGCTTCTAGTAGCCACGGTTGCTGCCCCTCCCTTTGCTCTTTGCTGTTTTCCACCACCATGAATGGCTGCCCTCTTCCGTGTACCACTGTGCCTTGGAGCCAGCCAAGTATAGACTGAAACTTCCACTAACTATGATCCAAATAAACCTTTTATTCCTTAATTCTGAGTGTCAGGTATTTGTCCCAGCAACAAGAGAAAAGTAACTTAAGACACCTTATATCATAGGTATTTTTTTCTGACAACTGTACGTTTTAATTCCACCCATTTCTGATTTATATGTTTATTAGTGTGTACCAGTTGTACAAGAAAACTGACTTGGATGGTGTGTTGGGTTCAGCCATTCCAAAGCGCAATCATCTCTGTATCTTCCTTTAAAATTGCCAAAATTCACTGCACTTTTATTCCAGCCGAACCCTGGGGTTTTGAGTAAAGTCATTCACCTTGATTAAGCCATCAGGACCAATTCTGTTTGGGAAAATAGATATTTGGCAATAGTTCACTTAATAATTAATCTTAAGAATATGTAAACATCTCACTCCAAATGATACCCTTCCTGCTCCATCTTTCCCTCTCGTCTGTTGACTGCCTGTACCACACCCCCAGGCTCTCCTTTTTCTCCTTCCACCTCCAGTGCTCAAGCCTGGCTGAGCCAGAGACACCCAGAGACCTTGTGAAGGCACAGACTTCTGGACCTCACACCCAGAGTCTTAGATTCAGCAGGTCCAGGGTGCAGCCTGACATTCTGCATCTCTGACATGGTCCCAAGGGCTGCTACTCCTACTATTGTTTGCCTCAGCCTTCTGTCCTATCTTTACCATCCTTTCCTTTCCCCTTCTTCAGATCATCCCTTTTTTTGGGGGGGGGGGAGTCTTATTATGCTGTTCAGACAGCCTTGAACTCCCTGAGGAGTTGAGCATAGGCTGGCCTCAAACTCACAGTGATCCTCTTGCCTCAGCCTCCTAAGTGTTGGGATAACAGGTGTGTGCCACCATGCCAGGCCTTTATATTATATTTCATGTGTCTCACAATTCTTCTGTGTTCCCAGAACAGTACAATATGCAGATGCTGCTCATCTGTATGTATGTCCTGAGAATCCCATCACAAGTTGAAAATATGATAGGTTGAAAATACAGTTCTAAAAAATTTAGCTATATTAGGAATAGAACACAGGGGTACTCTATCATTGAGCTGCATCCCCAGCCTATTTTATTTTTTATTTTTATTTATTTATTTAGTATTTTAGGGAAGGGTCTACAGGGTGTTCGGGTACTACTATTAGATTGGACTTGGTGATTCTCCTATTTACAGCTTCCCAAGTGCTGGGATTATAGGTGCTCGCCACCACGCCCAGTCTCAATTGCTGTCTCAGCACACCTGAGAGTTAGAGCCGACCCAGCAGGCCCAGGAATTGAAGCCCTGACCCCTGCACCTGCTTACAGGCACTTTAATCCACTGAGCTATTTGGCCAGCCCTTATTTTTTATTTTGATACCAAATATTACTAAATTTCCAAGGCTGCCCTCAAACCTGTGATACTTCTGCCACAGCCTCCTGAGTGGCTGGGATCCCAGGAGTGCACCACCATGCCCCCCATAAAAAATGCATTTAATACCGATGGGCTGCCAAACATCATAGCTTAGCGATGCAAACACTGAAGAGTGTTGATTGTTTTCCATTGAGATCATAAGGCTGGCTGATTGAGAGCTGCAGCTCACATCTTACTGTGCAGCTTACTGCAAATTGCTAGCCCAGGCAATGATCACAATTCTAAATCTGAAGATAGTTTCTACTCAAAGGTAGTGCTTTCACAGCACTGTAAAAATAGAAGTCAAGCCACTATAAGTTGGGGCCATGTCTAGTAGTAGCCTCGCTCTAGCTTGGCCTGCCACGTGATTTTTCCCAGAGTACTGTCACTCACAGTTGGTAGGTGGTTACTCACACTTCATGTTCAATGTAGTTTAGCATTCTGCTGACGTGGGATGCAGAGATCTCTCCGTCCACTTCAGCGATATATGTATAGAGGAACTGAAAGGTGCTGAAAGGGATCCGGGGAGGCCCACCACCATGGTCAGAGGATAAAACTTCACATATTATCTTGAGAGTTTTGGCAATGGTCTATAAAACAGGAAGGTAAAATGAGGATTAAATCCCTTTTTCAGGTGAGGTTCCTGAAATCAATTCAGATACATGAATGCAAAAGTATTGCTTTTATAAAATGAAGTGGTCATGATGTAAGACTCTAGAAAGTTTGACATTTTTACACTCAAGTGTCACAATTCATTCTAAAAGCATTAAATAGCTACAAGGTATCTTTGTTTTTCTTTCCTTTCTCTGTTGGAGGGCTCCTCTCATGAAGTTAAATTTATGGACTGTGGTATACTTTAATCTATTTGTTACTTTAGTCAGAATAACCTCACTACAGGTGAGGAATTGTTTTTACATTATTGGTTTAGAATTATTTTTTCTTACTATTGCTTTCCAATTTTATCTGTACAAGGTTTAGGTAACTCACCTAGCCCTTAATCCAGGAAGGTACTTGGGATAATGCCACAGAAGAGAAGGTAAGAGAAGGGTAACATATTGAGGAAGGTAGGGGTTGTAGATGCTGGAAAATGACCCTGCACATTGGAATGAACTTTTTTTTTAAGCTTCTGGACCTATTTAAGCAGAACCGCCTCATACTTTGAATTGCATAATCCTTACCCTGGTGGTATCAGAGGAAATTACTAGATGTTGAGTGCCAGAAGTTTTATTAGAAAAGTTCCCACAGAAGGAAACACTCTTGCCAATGAAATTGAAACATTAAAGACTGTGTTCAGAATTGATCCCATGTCTTTAAATACATGTAGCCTTGGCATACACTTAGGAGTAAAAAGAGCTGTGAAATGATTGGATAAAGGAAAGGAATGATTTAAAGAAAAGGCTATTTAGCTCTGAATAGACAAGGACAGGTCAGCACATATGTCTTGGTGGTTTCCCAAAACTGGGTGTCAGTGAAAAGTCAGCCCTGAGAGAAGAACTGAGAGGCCTGGTGAGGAGCTGGCAGCTGCTATGTCTTCTTCCAACGACTGGCCAGAGGAGAGCTGCTCTCCCCTGGAGGCTGGCGTTGCTGTTCTGCTCTCATCCTTTCCCTGGATACGCTGAATGTCTAGGTAGTTCTTTAACGGTGGCTGCCACTTGGGGATCAAAGTCTAGATGTGAAGAGACATGTGAGGGTGAGAATAAACTTGGCCTATCTTTCTGGAGTGATAGTTTTACTTGATGGCAAGGGTAATTATATTTGTGTCAAATAGTATGAGTTTTAATTGAGTAAATATTTAAAATTCATTTATATTAACAAACATACTTCAAGAAAAAGAACCTCCAGTGTACAATAATTTAAAAATAATAAACCACATAATGGCAAAGCAGTTGGGCGTGCAGCAGGTGGCTTCCACGTACTCTGCCCTGCCGGCAGTGTACTCATGGAGATGGGTAGAAGGGCAGTGGAATCATCCATCCCTCCAGCCACCTCCACTCCCCACCCCACCTCTCATCCCCCACCCTACCCCCACTCTGGAGGGCAGGGGGCAGCCACACAGGAAGCTATTAAGGGGCTGTGCAGGCACAGGCATGAGATGAGATCAGTGTGAGATGCTTTGGGGTGGAGCTGCGAGCCAAAGTGTGCACACTGAACTGCACAAATTCTACCCACGGCTCCTTCTGTCTGTTTCCCTAAACATGCCCTGTCCCTTTTCTTTGCTCTATCATGCTCACCCTAAGGGTGCTGTTATGGGTTAACCTGCCCCCATAACATGCCAACACCTTGATCTCCAACTCGGGCGCCCAGGACTGCCAGACAATGAGTGGTTGTTGGTTACACTGCCATGCGGGGTGTGATGCTTTCTGGGGGCAGCCTGCTGACTGCAGCAGGCGGCTTTACCCCCAGGGATCACCGTTCACAGCTATTCACAAAACACGCCTTTAGTTCCAACATTGTACACATATTAAAAGATTTAATAAGTCTAGAGTAGAGATCTTTATTCTCTTGCATAAGACTTTTTATCAGGTGGAGATCCAATCCACAGAGGTAACTCTAAGTATGTCACCTTTAAACCCAAATATGAAAGTGTCAAAAGGTGCATTGCCTGCTAACACAATTTAGGTCATTCCTTTAGGCAAACATGTTTATCGATTTCATACACAAACTATTCTTTATTTTTTGTATTCATCTTTTTTTAAAGTATATAATGCATTATTATGGATTATAGGTACATTTTAAAGAAATTATTGTCTTTGGAATTTCCTTCCCCTCCCTTCAACTCTTCTTCCCCTCCTTATTTACACAAGCATTGCTCTGTTTTTTCCCTTTTGATTCATATATATATATGAATCAAACTCAGGACCTTGTGCTTACTAGCCAGGCCCTGTGTTTGATTCTTTTAAAAATCTCCTTTCTCTCCCTGTCCCCTTCCCATTTGAAAGTGTTCTTACTTCCCAAGAGCTATGTTCCATTTTGATCCTTGTTTACCGTTAGATGCTCCCTTTTTACAATCAGTCTCAGTGGAATAGGTGGCAGGGCCCAACTAGAAGATAGTTTTGAAAGGGACTCGAGACACTAGTCCACCCACTGTAGTATTTGGAACCATTCCAGAAAGCTCAAGGCTGGAGCCCATATTCTTGTTAGCAACTAGAGTAAAATTTCTGCCATGAGACTTTCTACAGGGAGTAAACTAGAGCGATTAGTTTATAGACAGCGGCAATGTATCACATGCTGTGTAGCAGGCTGGGAACTGCAAGATCAAGATGCCAGATCTGCTGGCAAGGAGATCCCTCATTAAATGGTGCCTTTTCATTGTGTCCTTACATGGCAGAAGGGACAAGCAGGCTTTCTCTTTTATAGCCATTAGTCCCATTCCTGAGGGCTGCACACTCATAGCCTAATCACTTCCCAAAGGCCTCACTGCCTAATAGCATCATCTTGGGAGTTAGTGTTAATCATGAGTTTGTAAGGAACATAAGCTTTCAGGCCATAGCTGACCAACCCCTTACCTAATTTCCCACTAACAGCCAACATGATACCGAAAGTGTAAGGCAGTGATGATAAACCTTTTGGAGAAGAATGCCCAGAATGCAACCCCAAGCCCACTTATTTATTACAGAGTGCAGCACTGAAGTTAAACGTGAACATTGAGGTTTTAGTTCAGCAAAATAAACCCATACAACTCATGACTTAATTGCAAAGAGAGCTCCATGTGTCCCCTGTGGCACAGATGCCATAGACTTGCCACCATGGTGTCCAGGCATTGGCTTCAGGGTTCAGAGGGTATCCTCTATATACAGACTAGACTTTCAGACTAACTCCCTGTGGTGTTCTCTGATGGGGAGGGCAAGGGGCAAAATCAGCTACCTTGGGACCTCTCAGAATTAGGGGATCACTCTTGTCCAGAGGAAGGCATGAGGCTACCTTGGTGAAAGCAGAGAAGGTAGAGTAGAATGATGGTCTGCTAGAAGTAAGAAATCTCACTGTTTTAGGAAGGAGGCAGAAAGATACAGTTCAGCCAGATGTGGTAGTACATGCCTATAAGCCCAGCACTCTGGGAGGCTAAGGCAAGACTGTCATTCGACTCTACCTTCTCTGCGCTACCTCCTCCTTGGAGAGGAGAGGAGTCAGGCACAACTGAGGAGGTCAGGCAATTGTCCTGTGAATACTTTCAGTTATGACATCAGACTGATCTCTAGAATCAGAGGAATCTATTTCTTTTATTCCATATCTTGTGAGGGGGATAGATCATGAAGACCATAATTCACTACAGGTAAAATAAGAAAGTATGTGTCTCGCCCCTTCTGCAACCATCTCTGAAGTGGAATGAACATATTTGTAGCCCTGGGAGAACGTCATAAGATGTACTAATTATTTAATTTTCCCTTTAGTGGTTTCCTCCAGTCCTTGAGTTGTTATTTTTTTTTCTCACAGAAGTGAGTTCAGTCCTGACTGACAGCTCATTTGTCCCACTCCATTTTCCTTCCTTCTGGAGGACAGTAATTCTTTCATTATACAATGTTTCTATAAAAGACAATGAAGAAAAAAATCAACCGAACAGTCTCTGCTTTCCTTCTTCCTAAAGAAGTGATTATGATGAACATTGCAGGGGAAATCCATAAGAAAAATTGGACTACATTATTTTTGCTACATTTACTAGGAAATAAAAATGTCAGATAATGTGTTTTAAGCATATTTAAGAAGAAAAGATCATGTTTAGATATGCTAAGCAATTCAAACTATCTTTTCATACCATTTCACTTGAGCATAGGCAATGATTCAGTTCTTAAACTTGCATTATTTCAGGGATTATAAAGTCACATTTCTGATTCATTTCCTTTAAGCGATAATAGTGCTTAACAAGAATGAGGCTACAAGTTAGACACTTCAGCTTTCAATGTGTATAAAAACTGGTTGTAGCATCTTTTGCTTCAAAATGGGAAAATGGCTTTTCTTTTTATTAAACAGGTCAAATTTGGAAAAGGCATGAATTTGTACACATTCCCTCCTTTTATGGTGATGTCATGACTATAGTTCTAGAAATAGTCTCTTCTCTCTTTTCTTGCTTAGAGACAGGTTTTCAACTTTTGGTGTACAGTTGTTTATCTCATAGTAGTTTCCTATAAGGCTGCATCCCTTTCTGAAAGTTTGTAGAGTTGCTCTTCTATAGGTGTCTGGAACCCACAAGTAAGCAAGGCGTATTCCGTAGCTGACTCTTGTTTATCATCAGGAATTATGAATGGAGGGGGAACAGTGCAGTGAAACTGGATATGAAGGTAATGATTAAATAATCAAGACACCATAGTAGGGCCAGTGAGGCGGCACATGCCTGTAATTGCAGCACTTGGGATTGCAGGAGGATTGCCACGCATTCCAGGGCAGCCTATGCTACACTACATAAGTGAGTTCAAGGCCTTCTACTACACAGTGAGACCCTGCCTCAGAAAACCAAAACAAAACCACAAAACAACAAAAAAGCCATACTTTGGCTAACTCTTCCTGGAGACTGACAATTGTTCTACCTCCTCTTCTTCCAGCTTCTGTGTCCTGCTGACAAGCACAGAAATGACCTGAATTCTGAGAGTAGAAGACAAGAGGCGTGCTCACTGTCATCCCTGGAGCAGACCGTGTGTATTGGTGGACTGTCCTTCCAGGCCCAGAGAAAGCTTTTAAGGGAAAAAGAAAGAAAAGAAAAAGCAAACTTACAACTCCAAGCGAGCTGCAAGCAAGGGCTAAAAACTTCAGCCATTCGATCTCTTCCGTGAAGCGACCCACATTCATCACACTATTAAACAAATCGGTCGGGAGATTCAACACCTTCCACATCTGGGCCAGCTCATCTGCATGAATGATCAGTCTGCCACCAACCTGCAGGGCAGGGCCAGACACAACAGAGAGGATGAGTGGGACGGAGGGCCACAGGAAGCAGTTCCCAGGCCAAGCCTGGGTTCCCCAGCACATGGATGGGGCAGGAGGAGGTGTCGGGGAGGCCAGAGGACCCTGTTTCTCAGTTTTTTCTTTTTCAGGGCTCAGTGATACAATCTGATCATTTTTAGCTCCAGATGTCAGAATTGTGGGAAAGATGTATACATTTACATTACATTTCAACTCATGTTTCAGATGCTTTGTGATCTGATTTATGCCTGTGTTGCCCCTGTTTACCCACAGGATAGTTGAAAATAAAACCACAGGTGGAAAGCCAGTAATGAGACCAGAGACCACTAATTAGTGGAGAATTATGAACAAGATATTGGGTCTCTTGCTCCAGACCTGCTTGGTTATTTGTACAATACTCCAGATGTGTCCCTCGTGTTTTCCTAGTAATGGTCTTGGCCCACCATAGAGACATTGTTGAGAGACTGTTGTCCTATATTTTTCAGGAAAGGAAGAGTTAGCATAGCCTCTGACATTCTGCCAGCTTCAGGGAGACCGGCAGCGATCCCAGGACAGCTCACCCTCCAGCCTAATCTAAGGAAAGCCTTCCTTCCACTCCAAGTTTGAGTGAACCTTAGGTAGTGTTCAGTAGCCAGCTGACTGGCAGAGGGACAAATGGCCTTTGTACCCATGTCAACATTGCCCCACATGCCCCTTGGTGCTGCTGTGGGGACCTCACCCGAGAATGTAGGATCTTTAATAGCTCGGGTGTCAGTTCTGTCCAGTTGGATGAGATGACTCGCTCAGACCGCTCTCTCACCGGAGGAATCTCTCCCCGAGATATGGCCTCAAAGTACCTGTAGGAACAAAAGCCAGCAGGGTAGGGGAATGTCCCACACTCAGGTGACCTGTGGCTTCCTTAGGAGTTCCCGCTCCTTTTTTGAAAGAAAAGAGTAGGAGAAAGAATATGTATAAAACGTTTAGATTTTTAGATACCATGTTTAGTTCAAGGAATGTCTTGTGTTACTTTCCACTTACAGCAGGGTGAATATGTAGGAAATAAAGTTTTTGGGTTTTTTTGTTCTTTTTTCTTTTATAAGGTGCAGAATGACCAACAAAAGTTTGGTGTGCAGTTTCCTGGGGCATAGTACTTCCAGCCCTCCCTCAGAAATGTTTTACATATACAGGGTAGACATATAACTCCTAGGATATGTATAGAATGTCTACATATTATTTATGTGTTTGGTATCAGGCAGTGGGCGGGGAAGAGAAGCTACATGGGAACTAAAGTGGCTCACTCAAGACAGGGAGGGCATGAAGAGCCCCAGGAGTGAGGCAGGGTTTCTGGCTGGAGGAAATGAGGCATAGGCTCCAATAGGGAAGAAAATATAGGCTTCCCTGGCGCTAGCAGATGCCTAGGAGACCAAGCAGTTTGGAAAGAGATTAGGTGGTGCAGATGAAGCAAAACCTTTTTCTTTTCTCCTTGAATTTTGTCAATAAATGATGCCTGCTCCTCACTGCTTTGTGTAATGGATTTAATCTGGGGCCATACAGAAAGCAGACTGAGGCCTGTGTCAGGTTTGGTATGAGATGGAAGGGGGCTGTCTGCAGTGGGGAAGGGCACAAGCCACTGATATGTGGGTTACCAGTGCTGTGTGGTAGGGTCTGTTCTCCATCTGAAGTCTTGACACCAGCTATCCTTGAGTCACAGATGTCTGCCCTGCCCGATGTCACTTTCTCTAGATCCAGACAATAGTAAGCGAATACAGAGGACTTTTATGAAAGCGTATTTTAGGGTTAAGCCACTCAATGGAGCTAACCATTAGATACTTCTAAGATACAGAGTGATTGGAGCTAAAGCTGCATGAAATGAAACAGTTCCTTTCTGTCCCCTCTTGGGAACTTTGATTGTTAAAATGCACCTTTAACAGTATGAGAAATCTCTGAATAGATTGCTTTTTGGTGGGTAGGTGTGGGTAGAGGGACACCTGGAGGGCCATAAGGAGGACCTTAGGCTATACAACCAGATCTGGGGAACAGCCACACCACAGCAGCTCATGCTACAGAGGTGATTCTCCAGGTGAACAGTGACGCTCAATACTCTCCAAGTCTTTGGACTTTTTAATGGAACTGGTTAGAGAACATGGAAATGAAACTACAGTCATGGATTTAGTCCTCTGGGATAGTGAGTTTCATTTGCAAGGAAGCAATTTCACAGTTATAAATGTAGCAAATTTGTCTTGTTACACATGTCTACTACAGTACAAACAAGTATATGTGCTCTGCTGATGCTTAGTAGATGCATCTTCATTGACAGCACATATGTGGGATAATTCTTGATTGTGATGAATTAAATATGTATTTTGTCTTGGAAATACTTTGTGAAGTTTTGTCTTCTAAAATGCTATAAGTTTGTGAGCCACAGAAAATGATCTGGTAAGTGCTTTTTGTGTTGGAATGGGATGAAGAGTGCTCTTGGGTCATGCTCTTTTTCATTGTAGTTACAGTACAAACTGATTTTTCACAGATGCCTAAAATATTTATAGCACATCACACAATATAGGAGCAAACAAGGCTACAACAGTGCAATGTTTTCTCCTATAAATGTCAAAGATGGTATCAAGAAATGTCATTCTTCTTCCTATTATACAATAACAGGAGAACAGCAAAATGGAATCTTGAACTATTATGTAGTATAAAACAGTCTGCCTGATCATGCCAAAAGAAATTAGTCTTCTTATGCTAAAGTCTAACCTTAGAGGTAATATATAAAATTCATAATGGAAAACCCAAACAGGGTTCATTCCTAAGCCAACCAGATGCACTTAGTCCTGTTGTTATAGCACCACTGGCTTACTTTCTTTCCCTTCTAAAAGCTGCCTCTTACTACATTAAGGACAGCAATGTGTAATACTAAAACCATGCCTGAAATACCTGTCATCTTGGTCTTCTAAATGTGAACTGTTTCTAATGCCATATTAATTATTAATATACTTTCTTTAAAGTAAATTTTTAAAGTAATAAAAGAAAATGAGAGTCGAACAAAAATTTAAGATTTCTTGAAAGCATGTGGTAATATTCAATCATATGTCTTGTGTAACTATATGTCAATCTGAGCAACAGATTTGGCAATAAAAATAAATAATATATCAATCACTGTTAATCAGCTATTCTTGTTTTGAAAATCTGTAATGTATGTATTGTTACATGTTACCCTGTTTCTGTCTTTGCTTTTGTTTTTCTTGCTCTTGTTTTCACTCTTCAAAATAAAAGAAAATTATATTTTTAAAAAACCAGTATCAACAACAATAACAAAAAGCTGCCTCTTGCCCAGCCCAGGAGCAGAGGAACTCTGGCCCTCAGATGTGCACTCTGTACTTTCTGAAAGGTATCAGAGCACACTGCCCCACTGGATCAGTACAACGTGGTCAGCTTGAGGACACTGTCCCGTCCTCGACCCTTGGGTTCCCTTCCTCCCCTCCCTCCCTGTGCCCTTGCAGCACTACTAAGGTGATAAGCACCCAGCAGTAAAAGCAGCACCAGAAAAGTCCAGAAGGCCTAGTTAGCTCCCACCTCCTGCTTGCAGCCCCAGCTGCCTACCGTCTACTAGCAAGTTTATCTAAGAAGCAATTTCATAGCTGAGAGAACTTCTGTGTAAATCTGTTTTGGTGCAGGCCGGCAGCTATTGTACCAGCTCCATCACTGGGCAGCCTCGCCGGCCCTGTGCTCCGGGCATGCTGTCTCCAACCAGGCCTGAGCCCCTAGGTCCTCTCTGCCTTCACCTCCAGAATCCCACGTGCCTGGGCACATCTTTTTGTTCAAGGAGCAGATCCGTTCAAAGAAACATTAAAAAAAAACAAACCAAAAAAACACAATTTTCCCAAAGACAAAATACAGAGTGTCTTTCGTGGTGTGTGTGGGCTGGGGGTAAAGTGAGTTTCACAGCCTTGGAGGTAAGTTCTCACCAAGGAGGGCGCCAGCCTGAAAGGATTGATTCTTCTGGTCCACCCCACCCACTGGCTAGTGCCGGCCTCCCCCACGTGCACGGCTGCCATCTAGCGGTAAAATAGGAGAACGAGGGCCAAATTTAAACCAAGGAAAGACAAGTGAAATCCTAGCCCAGGTTCTCAAGGTCCTTTTTCCACTGAAACGCGTAGACAATGCAGGTATGTGGTGGGTGAGCGTGTGCTGAGGGTGTCCTGGTAATCTAACTCTTGTTATTTTCCCTGGACACTTGGCCTGTTGCTCTGGCATCCTGTCGCTCAGTTTGGCTTATTTAAAGGAGGGCATCACATCCTTGCTCAGTTTGATGGCAGTATGAGTGGATTTTAAAGCACTAAGCAATAAGAGAACTGAAAGAAACCTCAAAGATTATGCCACTCAGCTCGGATTTCTGGTCCATAGCCTAGTTTCCGAGGGCGCTGGAGGTGAGAGAGGGACACGTACTCAGCACCCCACTGGATGAGGTCCTGGGGCTGCGTCCGGATGGCGGCTTTGGTGAACTGCTTCAGCAATTCCGGCAGCTCCGGGGGGATGCACACTTGCCTATCCATCAGAGGCATTGATTGCTCGACCTGTGTGTGGGAGAAAATAAAATAAAATAAAATAAAATAGATTCTGAATCAGAAGAGGACAGCAATCCTGAACAGGATGCCACCCAACCTCTGACACTTTCAATTTTGGGACATCACTACCTCTACAACACAAATTTTCTTTGTTGTAAATGCTTTTGTCCTTTACATAAAAAAAAGCATACGGACATTAAAAAGTAAAGAAAGGGCTGGCCAAATAGCTCAGCGGACTAAAGCGCCTGTTTAGGCAGAGCACAGGGTGAGGGTTCGATCCCCACTGTGCCGTGCTGGCCCAGCCTCCAGGACTCACTGAGATGGGATTGAGACTGGGTGTGTGGTGTGCTCCTGTAATTCCAGAGCTTGGGAGGCTGAAAACAGGAGAATCACTACGAGTCCAATCTACATAGTGAGATCCTGTAGACCCTGTAGACCCTATAGATTCTAATGACCCTGTACTAAATACATTTTAAAAAATCTTTAAAAAGTAAAGATTAATACAGGTAAAAGAATTCTCTAGTGATATCACCTTCAAACAGTGAATGTCTTCTTCCAACTCTTTTCAATATGTATATAAATGGCAAGTGAGATTACATAAAACAGCCTGTTCAACAGTACATTATGAGCATCTTTCCACATTGCTCTAACTCTTATTAGCTTGATAGGAGTTGTAGCAAATCTTGCTCTGTGAATCCTCTGTGACTTGACATTAGGTTATTTACAAATAAAAACAATTTGCAAATAGTCATTTGCTGGTCAGCTGTCTTTCTACCTGAATGTTTTGATATACTCTAATTGTAAGAAATAGAGAAAAAAAGCATTTTCACACAAAAAGTTCCAGGATGCATTGGAACAAATCACAAAAATCTATGGCTAGTTTATGATTCTATGCACAAAGAAGCAGCAGATTAAATGATTTTGTCTGTTTGTACTATAGGAAAGAATAAACTGGGGCCAGCAAGATAGCTCAGTGGACTAAG